AGATGGGAGGCCCCTGGGTTTCTAGCAAGCAGGTTGACACCCCGCTCAGTGAGACTGGGAAGGGAAGCTGTAACTCAACCCATCAGGAAGCAGCAACTACCTCTAGCTAACCTCCGGACTAGGAGCCTTCTACTTTAACTGACAGAATGCATCTACTTCATCCTGCTTCCCGGAAGAAGGATTCCATCCTCCCCCAACCCCTCCAGCCCTGGAAGAGCTGACCTGCTTGTGGTCTTGTGGTCAAGGCCTGACTCATGAATCATGGAAAGCTCAAATAAACTCGTTAAAATTTTAATGTGCTTGAGTTTATCTTTCAGCAGTTCTGAACACGTAAAGCCAATTCAGCGCCCGCATAGCAAAAGCATGTTAATCTTTCCTTTTTTATCCTTAGTTTTGCAGAGTCAAAACAAGAGCAAAACAAATGATTCAGAATGTATACCAGAATGTCGCAACCAGTTTGCTGTGATTGGAAGGATCAAGCTCTGGCTTGGAAGCCTCGGGTTTTAATTCTTTCTTTTCCTTTCATTGCAATAAACAGGCTGACCGGGAATCTATACTATATGTTGTACAGGTATATAATAGAAATATCTTCTGTTCTGGTATCTAGAAGTGAGTGGCCTCCTGACTGGGACAGTGAATTCAGGGATTCTGTGAAGCTGGGGATATAGCTGGTCCTCCACCTGCTCAGGTGTCAGGGGGACTCATGCATTCCCGTAAGTTTGCTCTTGGTATCTTTATAATATTACCATTTCATGAAATGGCTTTGATAGATTTAAAATCAAATAGTCCCAAGGATAAAGTCCTTATACATCACATCAGTTATGGTCACTACCAGACCCAAGCGCTGGGTCTGCGGATCTCAATCCCACCACCTTCCTGGTGGCAGATGGTTGGGCTATGCGGACTCCTCAGGCTGGGAGAGCTAACAGGAGGACCCTCTACTAAAACACCACATGTCGCTTACACCGAAGCTGTCAGAAAAGAGTAAGAGCATCAGAAACAAAGTTACCCACAGAAAATAACTAATGGTGCAAGAAACCAATACGACCGAAAAAAACAGTCATTTTCAAAATGGAGATTGACATTAAGAAGTGTTTTTTCAAGCCTCACCTTGAAGAAAAGTATCTGAATGAGCACAAGTGGGTGTCAGCACCTTCCCCACTCAGAGGCAAAGATCCGTGCGGTGGCTGTTTTCCATCACACTGCGTGGCTGTTTGTGGTGCATATCAGAGTGACTTGGAATGGAATCACTTGTCACCCTTAGGATGAACCTGAAATGCTACAGATCAACTCACTTGGGAATAAAAATGTTATCACCCTCTCTGACATCTGTTGCTACAATTCTATCCACAGCAAAATGTAGACTCTTATCCAATTGGTGGAGTGTTAGTACTGTCAGTACTTTCATAATTATCTATACTAAAATTCTAAGCTATAATACATTCTTTCTCTTTGATTTTTTTTTTCATTATACCATGGAAACTGATTTCAGGAGGTTTTGTGATGAAAAAGTAGACAGGAATATTATCCCAGGAATAGAAACGAATAGAAATCAAATAATAGGGGGAAAAAAACTGGACACACCAACTATATTTAACTATGATTATTTCTGAAACTCTTTTCCTTATGCTGTATTGTATTTTCCACATTTTCTAAAAGAAAGATGCCTATGTTTAATCATTGAAAATGCACAGAATATTAATTTCAAAGAGGCTGGATTGAAACAGAATATGAAGGTCAATGCATTTACCCTGATATGAAAGTGAGCATGCATCCTGGAAATGGCAAATTCATGAGTCCTTCCAGAAACTGCATGAATTCCAATTCAAGTAACTTCTGGGGCTACATAACCACAGATCTCTTAAAGAGAAGTTTTTCTTTTGCAGCACAATGAACTCCCTTTATAAAAGACTGCAAAGAATCTTTGGCTGAATTCAATTTCAGGGACATAAAGTATCAGTGGTATAAAGTGAAACCATCCAATAAACAGTTTCTCAATATCTGGTGGTAACTATGGGGAAAAAAAAAAAAGCATCATTCTACTTTTCTGCAGTTCATATTTTTAAGCCATTGCTGATTTCTGAAATACACACCTGTTATCTAAACTTCTTTTGCTAGGTCAAACCTTCCCAAACAGGAATGTGAGGGCTGGGTTATTTTTAAAGTTTTATAACTGGTTCATACTCCCTCTCAAAGTTTCTGAACCTAATCCCACCAAATTTCCTCGGTGACATTTCTATTCTCTTCCTTCAGCCGTCTCTGCCTGAAATGTAACCGTGTGTGCACACTAATGCACACAAGCTCCCCGGGGCTCTCCAGGTCCCGCTGCCTGCCCGGGGCCTGCTGACGTGGTGATCATTTGTCACGGATTATTTCACTTAATCCTCACGACAGCTGAAAGGGGTGGAAATTATCATATCAAGTTTAAAGATGGGAAAATTGGGCTCTGAATCTGGCTCAGGATGGCTCTGTGAGGCAAGCAGGGTCCCTCCTTTCTTTCTGTCATCTGTCAAGAAGTCACAATGCAACACACACTATTTGCCAGACACGTGGGGTATTTGAAGGATTAAAATAGCTTATTCCTCATCTGAAGTTCAGTTCAGCTGGGCATCCTGCATTCTGGGGTGGTTCCTGGCCACTACACCATACTGTATGCTAGGGTGACTCGGGGGCTGGAACAATTCCTCCCAACATGGATGAGCTGGCACCATGGTGACATGAGATGGCAGTCCCCAGAGCTACTTGGATGGAGACCTCCAGGGACAAGTCTCCCTTGGGAACAATTCCCAGTGGCTGTTGTAGCCAAGGCAGGCACATAAGACAGTCCTTCACAATCCCCAATTTACTTAGTGGCTTCCTGCATCCCTTGAGAGAATCTTGTGTCACTGATTAAAAGCCAACCACTGGCAGAGTATGGAGTGCTGATCTGTTCACAAGGGGACCTCCAGAGACCATGGACAGTGTTTGAGTCACACTAATGAAAAAGCCTTTCCACAGTTCTTTACAAATGAATGAGGGATGCAAGACTCAGCACTGCTTTTGGGCTCACATTTGTTCCTGCTTCCTGAGTAGAGGGCCTCTTACCCTTGACTTGGGGCCAGAGCTTATTTTCCTTAAAGGCAGGCTTTGGGGTACAGAGCCTGAAACTCTCTCCTGACCATACCCCAATGTAGGCATTTGGAATAAAAAGACCACACTCTCAGCCCTCTTGCTCCTGTGTTTCCTAGATGAGAAAAGAGCATATACAAGTCAAATCCTAGAAATAAATATGTTGAGCCAACAGAGATCTTTGCGTTTCCACAAGGAGGAAGAAACAAAGAATTGGCACATCCCTTTCTGCCCAGGTAGGAGGTGACAGCTGTCAGGATATGATGTGATGCCCTGAAAGAAGTACAGTGACAAAGTGGATGCCTGGTGTGTCAACGGGGCCATCCTGTGCAGGATGTGGCAGCTCAGGATCAGTGCAGGGTCTTGAGCCCGGTCCTCACTATGAGGAGGAATTTCCAAAGCAGAAAATTTGGGGTGGGCACCTAGTATTCCAAAAAAATAAAACAAGGTCACCAAATTTCAGAATCAAGAAAGACCATGTTCTATAGCCATGAGAAACCTAAATCATTCCACATGCCTAGACTACATGAGAATGAAGAGATGAGACTTTAAGGGACATGGGACCACAGGATGGACTACCCACAGAGGTTCTGCAGGCAGGCATTTAGAAAACATGCTATGTTGTTGCATGCAGAAAGAGGAGAGCTTCTGGAAACTGGGAGACCCATTTATAAGCCTTGCAATACAGAGCCCAGACTCTGGTTTGGTGAAGTCAGCTTTGAAAATCCTAGTGTTTCCAAGGAACAGAAGTAAGGAAGAGTAATCCAAGCATCCCTGTCCAGGTTCATGGTCTCCCCACAACCATCCAAAGAGATGACCACTGTCCAGTGCATGAAGTAAGCCAACTTGTGTCTATTTAGTGAAAGCTGGACTATAAGATCTGAGAGCAAACACAACGATTCAGAAATTTCTCAGCATTTATCACAAATACCCTGAGGGTACGCTAGATTTAGTTTTACTCAGGTCAGTGCGGGAGCTGTTCAACCTCTGTAGCTATAAAACGTATACTATATAATCTAAAAACTTGGCTGAAAAGATACGACCATTCCAGTGCCGTACAGACTTCCTTAGATGTCAGTAGAATCTAAATCTGCACATTGCCTCCTCAAGTTTAAAGTTCATTTTCCTAAGAGATAGATGTAACATGTTTCAGGTATATCATCCTCAAATTATACTGACATAGACAACTGGATGTGGGGTCCATGCACATCTTCTAAGGAGGTGATAGCAAATATGAGGGAAAGAGCTCAAAATCTATTGATGTGTCAGTGGCTGACCCTCCAGCTGTATGCAGGTGTTGACCTGGATACAGGAACACAAACTTCCTCAAGGGGCAATGACAGTGACAATTTCCTTGAATTCTTAATGTACCGATAAAGGTCTGATCAAGGTCATCAAGAAAGGTCATGAGGGACCTCGTGGCATGCTCATAGGCATTTTGACCTCTGAAATTCTGCAGAAGAATATAGTGATGAATTAAGAACACAGTTTCTGCAGCCAAACTGCCTGGGTGTAAAACGGGGCTCCATCTTTTATCAGGCACATGCAAAATTACAACATCTTTCTCTGCTCTCTGCCTCAGTTTCCTCATCTCTACAGTAGGGAGGTTGACACCACCCACCTCTCAGGTTAGGTGGGAGGAACAGAGGAGTTAATCTGGGTAAACCAGGCCTGAGACACACAGGGAGGGTCCAATCAACACGTGCTATGAGGAGCACACCCCTGCTCACACTAGCAGGGCACTTCATGACACTCACCCTGCGCAGCGTTGTGAGATGGAATCACTTTAAACAGCGCTCTTCAGTTTCAGCAAAGAGACTCACATATAACTCACACAGATGTAAAGTGAAATCCATAGATTATCTTTGGTGGCAAAACATAACATCTCTCACCTTGCTCCTACAACAAGTTCTTTCTGTCCTGGGTCAAATGTTAACTGCGAGAAATCCACAGCATTCTTCGCTCTGAACTCCCGTAACCAGGGGCCAATTTCTAAATAGGAAAAAAATAAATAAATAAAAAAGATAAAAATGAATGATTCTTCCTCTGGGGACCACAGAGAGGGCACAGCAGAAGCAAGCATTACATTCCAGGGAGGACTGGGGAGTCTTATGTGATGTGATCATTTAGGGGCCACTGGAGGTTCCCCCCGGGATGTCATGTGACCCACACTGGGAATGTGTAAAACACAGAGGGGGAACACCCGGGAAAGAGAAAAGCAAGGCATCCAGGCATGGTAGTGATTTACAGGCCAGATGTGCGTCTTCTGGGCCTGGTAGAAAATAACCCAGAGTTCACAGGACTCAGCAGAGGGATGCAGACTGCAAGCAAGACCATTTCCTGTGCCACTTCACTGGAAAGGGCTGAGGACTTTGCAAAATCACAAAAGCCCTCCTTCAGAGCAAGGACAGAGCACAGGGGCACCTTTTGCCTTCTTTCAAATTAGGCCTTCCATTTCCCTGTCCCTGGGGTTTCTATTTTGGCCCCACGATTAGACTTGTTAAGCACATTCAGTCCTTTCTACATGAGAAATCCACAGTTACTTCTAGACCTCATTTGCATTTTTTTCTAAGGGAAATCAGGAAATAGCCACTCCACAGAGACAGGTTTTTTACAAGCCCTGTTAACTCCTATTAGAAAGCATCCAGCCCAGAGTCTGATTATTATAAAATGACTTTAAGAGGAATAGAATGCTGCTTCATGTGTCATTTCTGCAACATTCAGGAACTCATTTTTGGCACTGAAAAAATATACGGTGAGTTGCTGGTCAGTTTGGGATGCCTTCTCCTTATCTTGGCAACCAACCATGCTACCCGATGGTCTTATTTTCTCTGTCTTCTCATATGTAGTACTTTGATGATATCACCCTGACTAAACAGGCATGTGACAGCTGTCAAATCAATAAAGTTATTTGCTTGAGGAAAGTGATTAATCTCCTTCAACAAACACTGAAACTAAAAACAAATCTGATATGGAAATATGTCCATGTCCTATAGTATCCTATAGAAATGTCTTTGTGGATAAGAATGAGATGGATTATTTTTGTCTCTACTATTAGTTATTGGGGGAAAAATGGTATACACTGGAAGTTCTTTTCTGATTACAGAAAACCAGGGCTGTGCTAGAGAGAAAAAAAGAGACCTGCCATTGGCATTTGAAATTTTAACATGTATGACATCTTGATATTTTTTAGTATTTTATATAAATTTCTTCATTTTTATAGGCAACTCAATGAAATCAAAACACTTAGAGTGAAGTATTACAAGGCACTGGAGCCACACAAAGTTATCAATAAATAATCCTTCCAAGAGTTTATAATTCAATTAGAGAAAAAAGAACTGAGATCTTCCTCAACCATGTTTATGTAAATGCAATGTACTCATATTTTAGTACATGCATTTTTTATTAAAAACACCCAAGGAAACTGTATAAAACGTACAGGAATTATTCAAAATATAGAAAGGTGAGATGGTTGAAAGCTTAGGTAAAAGGAAAGATTTGATTAGAGACTTAGGATAAATGTCCTAACAGGACAATGGGAAGAGCAGCATGGTAGCCTTGGTGCCTTCTCTGGCCCTACCTGGAACTGCTCCACCAATTGCTCCATCCCTGAGAAAGAGGGAGCCTTAGGCTCGCAGGTCTGTGTGGTTCACTGTGATGCCTGCAGCACTAAGAACAGAACCTCAGATAGGAGGGGGAATCATAAATGGGTCAAACACAAGAGTAGGAATGAGTATGTGAATTAAAGAGTGGAAGAATTAAAAAGGAAATGAAAGAGGAGAGAAAGGGTGCAGAGAAAAGAAAATAGTAGCTCATGAAACTGCTAGGAAAGGGGACTGAAAAGAAAAATTTAAATATAAACTACAGAAAAATACATTTACAGGTTTAAAAGTTTGGACTTGATCTCATATGTGATAATAGCAAAGCACTGAAATTTTTCAAGTAAGCACTTAGCCCATTAAATTATAAATCCTAGGAATATGAATGGGTCACTGATAAGCAGGGTGGTTTGGGAAAAGTAGTAAATGAAGACAAGAATTTTAGATTAAAAAATGAAAAACCATACAATTTAGGCAGTGGCTAAGAAAATGGAAAAGGAAGATATTCTGGGAAGGACTGATTAGCCAGATCACTGATTATAGGCCAACTCAAGGAGAATAAGTTAAAGAAAACAAAAATGCTTTGAAGATTACATAAAGAAGACAGGAATGACTGAGACACAGATGTCACGAGATAAGGCTGGTTCAAGAGAGAAACTGGATGCAAGTATAATTATGAGAGTATTACCAAAAAATTTCCCATGGGAACAAGTTGGTCCCAGAGCCATTATTGAACATCACAAAAACCTAGAAGAGTCCATAAAAACGTTCAAGGTCAAAAGCTTCATCATTCAAATGGGAAATCCATGGCTAAGGAGCATGTGGGTATAAAAAAAAAAACCATACAAGTTAGGCAGTGGGAAAATGAGCTTCATAAAAAGATAAAAGACTACGAAATATCAGAAAACAGCTTGTTTCCCATGCACACATCTGTCCTTTTAGTTACAAGAATTTAAAAAGTGACCAATAGGAACCAGGATGAAGAGACAGCATTCAGGTTTTGGTTCCTATCATGAACATTCAGAAATAGCCTCAAGTCTTGAAAGGAATCATGTCTAGAGGGAAAAATGAGTTAACAGCATACCATTCTGTCAATATTGTTTGATTTTCCATACTTAAAATTCTAATGCATTTCCCCAATAAAAACGTTGTATTTTTACAGTCAATACTCAACAAAGACAGGTAATCTATTAAAAAGAACATCTTTTTTTTTTTTTATTTTCTAGTATATTCCTCTGGAAGGACAGCCTATCTCAGCTTTGCAGAGAGCACATGGCCTTCGGTCATGGACACCTTGAGAGCCCTGGCAGAGCTTCAGCCCCAAACCACCTCTGACAATGTGCCCGCAGGATGCCTTTTCCTCTCCAGGTCCCTGGAAGTTAGTCACATCTTGCTGTGCTCTCCTTGGACTCTAGGCCTCCAACTTCACATCAGTCCCACTTCTTCTCTCCTTTCAATCCCTTTCCTAAATTCCCTATTTTTCTAACATTTCCATGTTACATTTCCCCTCTGCTTATCAGTATATGCATATCTCCCCCATTTAAAAAAAAATCTTTCAAAATACATTTTAGTACATGCATTTTTTTATTAAAAACATCCAAGCAAACTGTATAAAAAATTCTTTAAGTACAGTATGTATAAAAATAAAGATAATGAGCTCAGTTTTACATGTAACTTTGGCCAAATTCCTAAGGAATATATCATCCTAACTAGACACCAGTTATTTAACGTATCAAGATAAAAGGTCCCCAGTCACTCTGAGGTTCTGATTATCTTGATATCCTTGAAAGCAAAGTAGGACCAAGAGCATCATTGGAAGGAGACCCACAGGCCAACCTCATCTAATAACACAGCTGAAAACATTCCTAGAAATGAAAAGCAAATCCGGTGTATGTGCACATATATACACATACACATGTGCACCTCTCTCTTTCTCTCGATTTCATATAGGATGGGGCTCACCCCCCAAAAAAGGCTTGTTGAATAAGCTAAACATTAGAAAATTCACCGGTACAACTCCTCATCAGATGTCAATAATAGCAATAAGAAATTATTGCTAAGGAATCAGAAAGTGAACAGTTATCAAAACAGAAGAACTAAGTGAGTTCAAGGTCAAGTAAAGCAAGAGAAGAGAGAATCAAAACACTGGGCAGTTGTTGATATGAAGCACACTGGTTGCCAAAGAGAGACTGGGGGAGGGGGAGGGGGAGAGGCCCACAACTCATGGCAAACTGGGGCAATACAGGTTTTAAAAGAACTAATATGTTCATTGCCCCTTCCTCCTGCCCCATCTTCTCACTCTTCTGATACTGCTGAGATAATCATATGATGAAATAGAACTTAAATACAGCAGTCAATATGACCCTTGCTTGGAAATTCCTGCAAATTCCGTTGGATACTTTGTAGATAATTTATAATATTGATATTAACCATTCCACATGGCTCAATTTTTACAAAAACATGAATATTGAAATATGGTCTCTGAGATTCTGGTAATGATTTTTCTACCACAAAATTAGGTGCTTTGATTCAAATTCGCCTTCTCTTACTACAACATAAGCTCCTACATGATCGTTTTGTCAATATTTTATCAAACGTGTAATGATTTGATTTTTAAAAGAACCCAGTCTTACATTTTTCAAGAAAAATTATTTTATCAACATGACTCAGTATTAATAAAGTTACTCTAAAATTATTGGCAAATATAAACTATCGTCTAGCTAGACAGATGCTGGTTAGTTCCCCCCTCCCACACTCCCCCAAAGGGAGAGAGGGTGGGGGAGAGAGAGAGAGAGAAGAAAAA